CATCCTCCACCTCTACATACCACAAACTCAAACTTCTCTCTCATCTCGATCCTATCTAGAGATAAACTGACTGGTCAGAATTATCTGGACTGGATATGTACCTTGGGGTTGCCCTAAGATACGAGAGAAAAGAGTGTGTCCTCGATCAAAATCTCCCTTATGTGGATGATGAATCCTTTGAAGAAGAAATACCTGCTTATAAAAAGCATGACAATGAATCTACGAAAGTCGCTAGAATGATGTTGGTGATCATGTCTCCTAAACTACAAAATAATTTCGAGAGCCGTGGGGTATTCAAAACTGATGAGCATCTTAAGGAAATGATCCAAGAGCAGGCTCGGCAAGAAAAGTTTGAGATCATTAAATCCTTGATGGCTAGTAAGAATCAAGATGAGAATTATGTGTGTATGTGTGCATATGTTCAGAAAATGATGTCGTACATTGATAGATTGGAGAACTTGGGTGTCAAGTTTCCAAAGGATATGGTCATTGACATGGTCTTGAACTCACTTTCTAGTTTGTATCATCAGTTCATCATGAACTGTAATATGAAAAATCTCGACAAGACCCTCATGGAGCTTCATGGCATGTAAAGAAAGCTTGGTTAAAACCAAAATCTCCAACCCTATTGCTCTCGTCTTGGCCATTAGGCATGGTAGTTCTACAAGAAGAAAACATTTTCTCATGCTAAAATTAAGGCCAATGTTGAGTCTTCCAATCAAGGTCTTAAGAGAAAATCCATCTCTGAGATAGCGCCAAATACCAAGTAAAAAGAGGTCGTTTACTTTTACTGCCAAGAAAAAGGTCACTAGAGACGTAGCTACCCGAAGTACCTAGATGATGTGAAGAAAAACAAATCCAAGGATGTTGGCACTTCAGGTATTATGATTGAACTCCATGGTATGTCAACATCTAATTCGTGGGTTCTTGATACTAGATGTGGTACCATTTTCCTTCCACACAAGATGTCCGTGGGATTTTCTCCCACAAATCCATTCCGAGAATTACGTGGAACTCTCTTATGTTTTCTACCAAATTCATGCGATATAAAGGAGTGATCTACTCCTAAATCAAACAATATCTTTGCAAGAATTTGATTAGCCATATTCTCCACAAACTTCACAGCCCAGACAGTTGCGTTAAAAGTTGATGTCTGCTTAACCGGTACAGAATACTCCCATGTCAATCCCTTGGAGTACATGTCAATCTTATCGAATTCTTTGGGGACCGCACGCAGTCCAAACCCCATTTTATCAGTGAAAGCATTGGTGTACTCTTCAACCATCATGCTTCCATGTTTCAGTGTTAGGAGTTGATTCTCCAACTCTAACATATCTTCAGTTAAACAAAACTTCTTCTTGAAGTGGGTCAAAAACTCTTCCCATGTTAGTTGCAACGGCTTGTTGGGGCTTAACATCTTCCCCAACGTGTTCCACCAACGGATTGTTGCACCCTTAAAATGTCTAACAACGTAGGTGGTTTGAATCTTACTAGTTCAACCACATGTGACAAAAGCTAGCTCCATTTCTAAGATCCAATCCATTACTGCCACTGGATCCTCTTTCCCATTAAATTATGATGGTTTCACTACTAGAATATATGCCTTTAACGACACGCGAACCACGACACACACTGATTTATGTTACGCGAAAGAGAGTGACCTTAAAATAGTGTCATCTCTCCAAAAAAAATTTAAGGATTTAGGTCACACATTATTGAGTGCCCTTAAATTAGTGTCTCGAGAATAAAATTAAAAACACGGAGGGCGCCTTATCTTAAATGCGTGTCCTCTATAACTGTTGCTTTATAATTTTAATGAAACGTGCATCTCTTGTTACAAAAATCACAGGTACTACTAATATTCTAGGGCTTTTTTGAACAAAATTCAAAACACTCACTCAGTCAGTACACTCTCTACAAGCGATCGGCTTTCCAACCTCGCCTCACCTCACCTCGCATTGTCGACAACCTCTCCTCCGATGATGTTAGGTTACTTCTCCTCAGGCTGACTTCTCATCGCTGGCGTCCTTGGGCTCACCTAACCTCATTGGATACTGCTCAAATTGACGTGCCCTAGGTCCGATTACGGTATTTGAGAAGTCACTTATTGGGCTTGGTGTTCCTGTTGAAAACGATTCAGGAAAAGTCAACTTCCCCGGTTGACCAGAGAACCAAGTAACATAAGAGAAAGAGCAGAAGAAAGTCAACACAAGGGGAAGAGGCGCCTGGTAACCATGAATCTGATGCTCAATTGAACACATTCAAGGGTTTCTCACCTTCTAAAGCTTCTCAAGTTGAACAAAAGGTTAAATTTCAAGAAAACCGAATGTTTTTATTATTCAAACATATGCTCTTAACATAGATACTCCAATTATACAAATATAAAAAAGAAAACAAATTAAGTGTTGCTATCAGAGTTTGATAGTATCAAATTTCTCACCTATGTACCTTTTTGTTTCTGGAATGTTTTTAGAACCGTATGTACCTTAAGTTACAAGTAAACAAAGCATCAGAGTGTTGATCAGGTGTTGTTATGTCACTTTGAATTTCAGTTTTGATTAGCTCTATCAACCCTTGGATTGAACCACTTGTTATCTGTGAATTCCCATTCTCAAAATAATACAAATACCTGGATAATAACATTTTTATAATGAGTAAAAATGTTATAATATAAATAAATGAAAGTAGGATGCTACTTACTTGTTAAATATTTCAACAAAGAGAGTAACGGGCCCACTGCTACTACGTGCAACATTTGTCATTTACTGTGCAACATTCGCAATCCTTAATGTACGTTTAAGGAAAAAGAGAACCATGGAATTAGAATGGAATTAAAATTGTGTCAATTCTGACAAAAGAAGATGGAATACCTTTTCTCCGTCCTTGATTTGATCCTGATCATCCACCTAAAACAGATGTGAGCATGCATACACAACTCTGCACTAATTCGGCTTTTTCAAATGTTTAGTAGAATACTAAACATGGAAGAAAAATAAAGAATAGATTTTTAGTTTAAATAATAATGGAAATGGGATAAAGATGATTGTGTTTGAATTGTGTTTGTTATTACCCCTATTGCTTTATGTGTCAAAGGGTCTCTGCTTTCCACACCAAGTACATGTGTCCTTTGAAGGGTTCCAATTATGAGGTGAATTGCAGTTACTTGAGCTTTGGAGTCCTGTCAACATAAACAATGAGCATTTTTATTATTTTTAATCTTTCATTTTTGTAAATAAAAAACTCATAGTTATAATTAAACAATGTATAGTGTAGACCTAAGTTAAAACTCTATTAAAATTACCTTGTTATTATGCAATGCAGTGCAATGTAATCATCGATCCCACTGGTTCTCCGTTTTTTGTTTTGTTATTATGCATATTTACTTTTTTTTGTTTTTACCTTTTAACCTTTTGGCAACATGTAATAAGATGCTTCTTTTTCAGGTTGAAGAAAACAAAGTGGTGCTTTCTGCACAGTTGGATCCTCCCTAACTTCCTTACCTAAATGAATTGTAACTAAGGTAATAATTGGTGTAAAAACTTTCTTTTCGCTGATTTTTTCGTACTTCTGTTTCTTTTTTCCTGCTTTTAGCCCTTGCCATTGAAGTCTGGTAATAAACTAATATAATAGACATTAATTAACCAATAGAGAATACGCTATTTGAGAAAGAGAAAGAAAGTAAAAAAGGATATTTATTTACCTTCCTCTTAAGAAATACATGAGAACGTATCTCAGAGATTCTAACTCATCCCTTCTACTTTGTTCTATAAACAAAAATATACACAACTTAATATTCATTGCATGATAGTTTATTTTTTATACATATATAGTAAAACTTACCAATCCCAAGATGTGTATTTATGCATGCATTAAAATCACTTGCACATATAGATTACGATAACTGAGTGGTTAAGAATTTCACTTGTATGGAATGTGTTGATGAGTTGTGGAGTACAGTTTTGGCCCCTCTTTTTCCACAAAACCAATAATTTTTTTGTCCATGTGAAGTTTATTGTCCCATGTACAGTTTTGTTTTTTGCACAATTTTGGTCCTTGCATCAGTTTTGGTCCCTGTAAAAGTTTTGGATTTTGGTCCCTGTACAATTTTTAGTTGTTTTTCTATTATAAAAATAAATAAATTACATTTTGGTTCTTGTGCTAAAAAGGAACCAGTTAGTTCCAAATATTAGTTTAATTTTTTCTTTTATACATGCCTAATCATTGTTGCTTTAAATGGTAAATAATTATGTAGGTTGGTAACAAATGTTTAATGGATAAATCATGGATTTCCTCTAGTAGATTATAAAATGCATATGATGAATGTGTGAATGCTTTTCTAGAGTTTGCACAAAGTAATAATCCAAAGTTAGATGTTATTCCATGCCCTTGTGTAAATTGTATCATTTTATGTCACCACTCAATTGGCAATGTCTGTTATCATTTGTTTTCCCACGACTTCGATGAAAATTATAAGAGTGGTCATTCCATGGAGAAAAACAACCCGAGTTTGATTCTAAATGCCCTAACAATTCCATTTTTCTCCCGATGTTATTTATACAAAGGATATGCTAAATGATGCTTTCAAATATGTAGAGTAAGAACCTGATTCATTGAAATCACTTCTTGAAGAATGTGATAAGCCACTTTATGTAGGGTCAAAGTATAATGCACTTAGTAGATTATTGAAATTCCAACATTTGAAGGGTCAGTTTGGTTGGTCTGATGCTAGTTTTGATGTTTTGTTGTGTGTCCTAAAAGATATCTTACCATCACACAATACCATCCCTAAAGCGACATATGAGTCCAAGAATTTGCTAAAAGGAGTAGGTCTACAATATGAGAAGATTCATGAATGTGAAAATGATTATGTTCTATTCTGGAAAGAACGTAAGGATGTTTATCAATATCCAACTTATGGCACATCTCGTTGGAATAAGAATACCAAAAATATACCTTCAAAAGTTTTGTGGTATTTCCCTATCATCCCTATATTTAAAAGAATGTTTTCATCACAACAAATTCCACAAGCCTTAACTTGGCATGCACAAGGTCGGTTCAATAATGGGAAGCTTACTCATCCTCGCGATACCGCTTCTTGGAAGCTTGTTGATAGCTCATGGAAAGAATTCGGACAAGAAAAAGAAAATCTTAGATTAGCCTTGTTTGTTGATGGTATCAGTCCTCACAAGTCATTAAGTTCTAAGCATAGTTGTTGGTCGTTTATCCTTATAACATATAATCTACCCCCATATTTTTGTATGTCAAGAAAATTCATGATGTTGACTCTGTTGATATCAGGGTAAAACCAACCTGCTAACAATATTGATGTCTACTTGGCACCATTGATAGAAATCTAAAACTCTTGTGGGAAACTGGCGTTGAGACATTTGATTCTTATAAGAAAGAATATTTCAATCTAATAGCAATATTACTTTGGACTATAAGTGACTTTCCTACATATGGAAATCTTTCGGGGTGTGTTACCGAAGGTTATTATTCTTGTCCAATATGTTCGAAGAATACTTGTTCACAATGGTTGCCAAAGCCTAAAAAAGTATGCTTCCTTGGGCATAGAAGATTCCTCCCATTTGAACATCATTTTCGTAAAAGAAAAAAACATTTCAACAATCAACAGGAGCACGATTTTATGTAACAACCATCATCAGGTGAAGATATTTATGACTATCTGGCGGGATTTGAGAGTACATGGGGTAAGAAGATAAATTCAAAGAAGATAGGATCAAAGAATATAAAGTTAAAGAAGATAAATACAAAGAAGGGAGCGTCAAAGAAGAAAACGCCAAATAAGGAAAATTCAAAGAATAAAAAAGAAAGTATCGATGAGAGATCTAAATTTTGGCATAAAAAGTCGATTTTTTTGAACTTGAATATTGGATGAAGTTGCCTGTTCGTTATCAGTTACATGTCATGCACATAGAAAAAAAATGTGTCCGAGAGTGTTTATGGGACAACGTTGAATTTTCCTGACAAGAAGAAGGATGGATTAAAAGCATGACAAAATCTTGAAGCGTTGGACCAGGAACATATGAAGACAAGGATAAATAGAACCATGTGAACAAGATAAAGGGAAGGGAATAGAAACGAAGAGTAAAAAGAAGGAAAAAGAAATGGAGAAACAAAATGTAACCATGCAAAAAAGGTGGACCAGAGCACAGATGAAGACAAGGATAAGAATTGATAAAAGTAGTATTTTGAAAATGAGTGCAATTATGCTTAATGGACAAGTTACAAAAGTTGATTCTATAAAAGTGCGGTGTGAGAATGATCTTTTTGGGTAAGATAGTTACACGTACTTAACTTGGGATAATTTTGAAGCACTTTTAACATTGGATGAGCTGACCGATGATGTCATTGTGTCTTATATGATGTAACTGCAAGAAATTTAATTTAAATAACTGTTCTTAAAACAAAATTTGTTTAATCAATTTATTGTTTGAATGATAACAAGGTGTTGTTTAACAAAATCAAGTATGGCCCGCCAGAAAGAGATCATGGAATTTGCTTCATGAACTCGGTTGTAATCTCGCCAAGTACGCGTAAAGGGAAATCTAAGAATATTGATGTTGCAAGTAGAGGTGTTTCAGATCGGTTGTCTACAAGAAAGGACAATGACATCATCATATTGCCCTACAATCCTGGGTTTGATTTTTCCATTTGATATTGAATACAATAAATACCTTTTTATTTTGAAAATGACTGCAATTACGTTATTTGACTTCATTTTTTTGTGGTGTTTGTAGAAGACATTGGGTGTTGGTTGTACTAGACATGAAATTGGATACTTGCTATTATCTTGATTCCTTGGGTTCTGGAAATTTCAATATGCAGTTGAAGCAAATTATTGATTCGTAAGTAATATAAATTATCAAAACATTTGATGTGAATACAATTATGTTATTTGACTTAATTTCTTAATGTTTTGTATAGGTCAATGGTTTTGTACGCTACACAAAGTGGATCCAACAAGAGGATTAAACTAAACTGGGTCAATGTTACGATCAACACTTAATTCCTTATTGAAATTGCAGCTTTAACTTTATTTTTTGGATCAATGTTGCAATGATTATTTATATGTAATTATGTAGTGTCCAGTTCAGGCCAGATCTACCGAATGTGGCTACTACATGTTAAAGTTCATGAAGGAGATAGTTGAGGAAGGAATTGAAGTGTTGGTCAAAGACAATGTAAGGAGATAGCATTCTACTTTCACTACTTTAATTTAATAGGAAAAGAATTGAAAAGAGGATCATTTTATGGTTATTTGTTGAATATAGCATCCTATTCTCACAATTATAATTGAAATAGTTGGTTATATGCAAAAATAATAATGCACTTTCATTCATTTGAAAGTACAATGCTCTATTAAGAAAGAAGAATTTACATTTTGTGTTTATTTGTTAAATATAGCAACTCACTATTAAAGTATATGTTAATATGCAGTTTTTATTATAATAGAAACAATATGCAAATTTTTTTCTCATGTCGAGAGTAGCAAAATTGAGTACACAACTGATGATATCGATGGAATCCGTGAATAATGGTTGGAGTTTGTTACAGGCTTCATTTATCGGTGATATTTTGTATACACAAACAATAATTTTGTTAACAATGAAATGTTAGGTAGCATGGTATTTTGACATGTTGTGTACAATATTTTTGTTAACTTTGTGAAATGTTAGGTAGCATCCTCCTTTGACATGTAGTTTTGTTTGACATGTAATGTTAGGTAACTTGTTTGACATTTAGATGAAATTCAATGTTTTGGTATATATTTGTTTTTTTATTATGCATATTCATGTTGTAAATGTGTATCGTAAATGCACGTCGTAAATGTGTATCGTCAATGGCAGTTGAAGTTTATGACACACAAATGTGTGTCATCTTCATTTATGACAGTGGATTTAACGATACGCAATGCGAGTCGTAAAAGTGCGTCGTAAGGTTATGACATGCAAGGGCATGTCGTCTTCTTTTATGACAGGGGCTTCCTTGACATGCAATGTGTGTTATAAAGGAACGTCATAAATGTATGTCGTAAATGCACGTCGTAAGTTTACGACGCGCAAAAGTGTGTCGTCTGTCGTTATGACAGGGAGTTCCTTGACACACATTTGCGTGTCTTCTGAGCATTTTATGACACGCATTACGTGTCATTAAATGGTATTTTGTAGTAGCACTTGCAAGTCATGAAATCTTTATACTTGCAATAGCCTCTGGGTTCATCATTTCTTCGGATCTTCGAGTCTTCCAAAGGAAGGAGTGGTCCTTGATGACTTTCCAAGCTATCATTTCCTTCCTAGACAGTCGTTGGACAAGAGGGAACCGGTACATCATTAACTTTATCAACGACTACTGACTCATACACCACTGGTGCTCCACCTCTTGCATTGGCTAACTCTTGAACTAAGAGCTCCTTAAACTCACGTCGTTGTTGATCGAGCATTTCTTGCATCATCTCTCAAGGTTTATTCATCGAGATTTCAACAGCTCCAGCTTCGACATTCTGAGGTGCAGGACCTCCTTTGTTATTAACCACTCTACCGCTCCTTGTGATCGTTATGTCATTCTATTGTCGTAGAGGCGACATATTACTATATATATATATATATATATATATATATATATATATATATATATATATATATATATATATATATATATATATGTGTGTGTGTGTGTGTGTGTGTGTATGTATGTATAGCACATATTAGCAGCTAAGGCATCTTCCTATAGTACGCTAGTGATAATGTCTAAAGTAACTTAGGCATATATCCTAAAGCAATTTATCAAACACCTCACCGATTTATACTTATCATCTAAGTTTAAGTCTAGAATTACCCTAAATTCCTAGTTCGCTTAAACTAATAATTTGATATCAACTGTACCGTCCCCTATTTTTCAGAACCAGTTAAAACATTTTCTTTATGCTTTAATACATTGAGATGCAGAAATTCTCAATTAAATAAAACATTTTTCAGATAACAAAAGTTATTTCATTTTATTAAAATTCCGAGGATGTCATCGTTCTTACCTAAACATACATTACAACGTAAATATAAAAGGTCTTGAAACTACTTGTTACAGGCACATCTCTTCATTCCACTCGGCATCCTAACTAGACTACAACAGCCTTGGTTCCACATCTTGTAATGCATAAAAATTAGTGGGTCGGGTTTGGGAAAACCTGGTGATATACGTAGGGTTTTCAAGCCCAGAAAAATTTAATGATAATAAACAATATCATTCCTGCAAAACAACATTGTCAGATAATATATGTAATCTCACCTAAGAGCAACTACCCAACCCAACCGATCCTCACAGACCCTAGTTCGACAACCATCTGGAAGAATCACCTTACCTGATGAATTGTCTAAGTATCTGTTTGACAACACAGCTAGGGAAGTCCAACGCCAGTGTAAGTCATATATAAGGCAACCAATCATTAGATATTTGATGAATAGGGTATCCCATTTTATATACATCCATTGGTTATAAATCCATGCTAGCAACGTAATTCATAAACCGCCTAGAATAGTCAAGTGTTGCCATCTACTTTGTTCGATAACCCAGACATACATGCCGGTTGTCTGATCTGGACCCACCATTTCTGGCCATCCAAAAAAAAGAGGACTACACTCCGCTCTGATCTCACATTCTACCCCCGTTATGAGACCTAATCGATATCTAGCTTAATTTGAAATAAGAAACCTTTACAATTCTTATTCTTATACTTAAGGCAGGACTTATAACTAAAGGCAATCGATTTCCAATACAATTTCTAATCCAATAGTATTATTATGTTTATACAAGTAGCGTGTAGCACAGCTAATACATGTAAAAATTTAATATCACTTATAAGTACTAACACTTTTAAATTAAGATTATGTTCTTGATAGTAACTATGCACTCACCTGACAGAATGAGGTTAGGGCAACACTTCGCCTTAACACTTATCCTTTCGAAAGACCTAGATGTAAATGGTACTAAGTCTTAGTCTAGTTTCATATTCTTTGTGACTATAATAATGATAATCTAGATTCCTCAGTAATCCCAATGAATATTGATAGCTCTATCAAATAAGGATCAACCAGGTAGGAAAGTTGGGAGGGGTGACCATTTTAGTGTATGGCCTTTTTGAAATCCAACAACCAAGCCAACGTGACCATTCTAGAAACTTCTCCTGTAAGTAGACCTGTCATTATAACGACCTGGAATCACTGATAAATCTTATTTATAGATTCATAATAATGACTACGAATATAAATATTAATTACACTAAAATTGGGTTGAGTGTAATTTAACTTACAGAGATTTCCTAGACAAAAGTTTGGAAATTCCATTGGCTCATGCATAATAATGGTGTTTCTTTTAGTTTATTGTTGCTACTCGCCAAACATGGAACGAAACATTATTTCGTTTCATGTATTATACAAGGATGGTTTTTGATTTTCTTTTGATAAAAAAATGGTGACATGTTAGTTTATAAAAACGGTTCCTTTATTTCCAAAGATGATCATTGCAATGGTGTGTATGAAAGTGTTATTTTTGTATGCAACTCTAATAATCTAATGTTAAATGTTGGTTCTTCTAATAATGTGGTGGATAAATCATGCTTGTGGCATTGTCGTCTTGGGCATATAAACAAGAAATGCATTGCCAAGTTCCAAAAGGATGGGATCTTGGAATCATTTGATTTGGAGTCAAATGATGTATGTAAGTCTCCTTTACTTGGCAATATGACAAAAGTGTCTTTCACAAGAAACTATGAACGAGACAAGGATCTATTGGACCTAATCCATACTGATGTATATGGATCGTTTAGATCCGCCACAAGGCATGGTGAACATTACTTTGTGACTTTTACTAATGGTTTTAATAGATATGGCTATATCTACTTAAGGAAGCATAAGTCAGAAAGTTTTGGAGTGTTTAAAGAATTCCAAAAGGAAGTTATAAACCAACTGGGCAAGAAGATCAAGATGCTACGATCTAATACGGATGGAGAATACTTGAGTCTTGAATTTATCAATCATCTAAAGGATTGTGGGGTTATCTCATAGTTTTCTCCTCCCAAAACAGTACAACTAAATGGTGTTGCTGAGAGAAGAAATCAAAAATTACTTGATATGGTTCGATCTATGATGACTCGAGCTATGATTCCAATAATTTTCTGAGGTTACGTTGTGTAGACAGCCACTAATATATTAAACCTTCTACCAACTAAGAAGGTATCTTAGACACCATCCGAAATGTGGAATGCAAAACCTCCCAGTTTTGCACATTTGAAAAATTGGAGTTGCGAAGTTTTTTATTCATCGCTAAGATAGTGATAAACTAGAGCCTAGAGCGAAAAGTGTTACTTCGTAGGATATCCTCAAGTCTTTTGGATACATATTCTATAATGCTTCTGAGAACAAAGTGTTTGTGTCTCGGATGGGCTTCTTCCTTGAGAAGTCATGTCCAAAGAAGCTAGTGGGAGCCCAATTGATTTTGAAGAGATTCAAGAGTCAAACGAAGAAGGACTTGCAGTTGAAATTGGCACTTAACCCGAGGTTAATCGACATGTTGAGCCAAATGAAATAATTCTAACTCCTATGCTACACAGATCTGGTAGGGTTCATTTATCTCCTAAGTTTTATGGTTTCCATATTTAAACAGAATGAAAGGTCTTGATTAGTGATCGTATATTGGCTAGTATGGGGGAACCATCTAATTACAAGGAAGTGATGACATGCACCAAAGCTACTAAATGGAAGGAGAGTATGAAAAGTGAAATTCAATCCACATATGATAATAAAGTTTGGAGGTTGGTTGATCCTACGCCTAATATTAACATCGTTGGGTGCAAGTAGATGTTCAAGAAGAATACTGACATGGATTGGAATATGCACAAATTCAAAGCTAAGCTGGTCGTGAAGGGTTACACTCAGACTTAATGAATTGATTATGAAGAAACATTCTCGCCAATAGCCAAGATTAAGTCTATTAGAATATTACTTCCCATAGCTGCTTTTGATGATTATGAAATATGGCAAATGGATGTGAAGAGTGATTTCCTTAATGGGAAATTGGCAGAGGATGTCTACACGACACAACCTGAAGGCTTCAATGATCCAAAATATCCTAATATAGTTTGCAAGTTTGAGAGATCAGTTTATGGACTCAAACAAATATCACGTAGATGGAATCTTTGATT